GTTAAAGAATGTTATAAACATAAACCTAAAAGAAAAGAAAAAAAAAAGGTGAACATTGAAAAATCTAGTAGACTCGAAGGTGAATCTTACAACAATAGTTTTATTTTCAAACCTATTTTAGTATAAGAAATATCATTATTAATCTCCGAGACTGACAAACTTCGTCTAATCTTTCAACTGGAGTCGTTGTTTAGTTATCACTGCACGTGCATAACGTGTAGCTAGTAAATTATGAAATGAATTCGATAGAGAATACGAATTAAATCATTTTATTTGTTTATTTTTTGGTTTGAGGAGATTAAATCTTAGTTCGAATATGTTGGCTACTTTTTTTCAATGTGACTGATACGAATAATATTAAGTAAATTGCACAAAAGAATTGGGATTGTTCGTCAGCCTCTCAATTTCTTATGGTTCTGAGTATATTTTATTAGTAGTGAAGAAAAGGACATATTCTATGAAAGGTAAGATGCAATAGAATAAATGGAAAGCAAATGAAAATTCTATCATACATCGTACTAACAAAAGCATTGAAGCGATCGAATTCGCTAGGGTTTCCTCTTTGGGGATGATATGTGACTCGATACTTTGTGTTTAGATGGTTTTGATTAATAAAACTATCAAAATGCGATAAGTAGCATCGATTCCTTTTTAACTTTGTGGATATGAAGATTTAGAGAAAGCATCTTTGGAGAATTCTCTCTCTTATTCAGTACCAAAATAAAAGAATAGCTTATTCAACTTCCACTAATCCTTTTTAATTTACTTGCATGTTGCGCCCTGGTCGAAAATTCATGAAGTTAATATTCCACCTACCCTATGAAAATTGTATATATTGAGTTTGTACAAATTTCAAACTTGCATGTTGTTTGTATTTGTACAAATATCAAAAATTTAATTTGAATTATTTTTTTAATAGAAACAATTAGAATTTTCACCTTTTTTACCAGTGGAAAGTAATTGGTTACGGATGAATGCATCCTTTAACTAATTAGTACCAAAGATAATAATTGTTTTCCTTTAATGCCAGACTCCTATCAAAAATAGGTAAATCCATACTGATTACAATAATATTCAATCACCGTGATATGTAAACCACTTTAAGTAAAACCTATGGTGAACATTTGTTGGTTAATTCTAGATTTTTTCCATTTGCTTCTTTTGTGCGTCTCACGTTGACCGTATGTATTTGTGTATATTGTTTAATATTGTACGGTTTAGGGTTTAGGTTATAGAGCTTATGAGATTTTCCTAATCTAGATAATACTTATCTACAAAATGCATATCAACCCTCTTTCTAAAATCTGACCTTAACCATGCTACGATCACGCATACAAAAATTAATAAGAAGAAAATTTTATAATATACTAAATTTTTAAATTACCTAGATACAAGTAATTTCTATATTAGAGATTCCTATTTGACTATTTGCATGTATACACCGCGACACCATTGGCTCTTGTTATATGTTTAGAGGAAGTACATAGATTGTGCATGCTGAAATTCGGAGGTGCAAAATGTTAATTTGATTCACTCCCCACCAACATGAGATATCATTTTTCTATCACAATGTGGACGTTTATGCTGTCCTTTCATGAATATATAAAAGGAACAAATTTAGGGTTAACATACATCTAACATATTTCATTCAAAAAATTATTATCTAGTTTAAATTTTTACTTTTAGTATAAATTATATTAAACATAAAAATTTAAATCGGGCAATTATTTTGGGAGGAGAGTAACAATAAATTTAACTTAGCAATCACATTGACTAATGCAATATCCCACATTGTTTTCTTGGACATAAGTCGTTAGTCTGTCTGCTACAGTTGACTCCTTGCATGGCAGTGACATTGTTGCATTACTTTCAAATGAAAACACTTGAGCTTCTGAAAGCGAAGTTTATAAAGCTGAAAATGTACATTGTCAGAGAGTTGAAGAACAATATTGCTTACCAATCTAAAAGGAGACGTACGTTTCTTTTATTTGTCAATAGAAAATTAAATTTAATGAAAGGTTGAAACGATTACAATTTACAAGAAGCATGTAACCAGTGATATTCATATCTAATGCACAAAGTTAGCGAATTACATTCTAACTTGCACCATCATACCAAGTAATCTCTAGCATTATGTCGACTTATGCAAGCATTATATTAGACTTTAATGCATCACCAAATCGAAGTCAATTGGCTGGTGACTTTTAAGGTCTCGTTTGCGAGTCTCGCTAAGTGATCTCACCTTTTGACTCAATCATAATAACTTTTAAATAACTTTGTCTCCGTAATGTTGTAACTTGATGAACATTGGTGTGAGTTCCCAACTTTAGACCAAAAAAGTGATACAAACATTGAAGTAGATGATTCAATTGACAGTTCAATGTAACCTACAAAAAGTCCCGATTTAAGTCCCGATTTCAAGTAGATGATTCAACTGACCGTTCAATGTAGCCTACAAAAAGTCCCTTCATTCATTTTCATCAACAAGAACAAAAAAAAAAATAAAAATAAAAATAAAAAGTGAGGGCGCTTATTTAGGAGAATACGTAGTCATACTCTTGCCACAAGTGGTTTTGGCACATTTTGTATTGTTTCACTTAGACGTGGGTAGCTTGAATTGACCAATGCTGCTCATTGGTCCAAAACTGCACATGTCCCATTTTTATAAGTGCGATGGATAACGTGATAAGTGATAACTTAACCCTACCACCTTCTACCTTGAATCATCCTTGTCCAAAAGGCGCGAATGCATTTAGTTCCATAAGATTGGTGTAAGTAAATTATTGTCGCTCCCAAAACAAAATTATGGATGGTAATTAAATTGATGTTTTAGTTACAAGGTTTGAATGTCATTAATGATTTGATTCCAAACTATGAGATTGCTGAGTTTTCTCCCCCAATGTTTTTAAATGAAAATACTTTTAGTCCAACTACTAAAATTTTCTTCATGGTAGTTTGCATTGAGGGAGTGAATAGTGATATACTTTGCTAAAAAAAATTTATCACTACAATTTCGGTCATTAAATCCCTTCTTTTTTTTTTTTCTTGTAGTCGATGTTCATAGTGGTTCCAAACACTGATAAATCATGTTGATGTGGTCTCAAAGTGAAATAAAACGACATTTTAGTTAAACTAATTGCTGAGACTACAACAAGCACATTTTGAAAGTTTTGGGTACGAAATTTCAACAACTTTACAGTTTGGACGAAAACAACCGATTCACTCAAATGTTGGGACGAAAAATCAATCCATTTGCCCTATTGATAAAAACACGGACATTTTTTTTCCCCCACTGATTTCAACAAACTAAACCCGTTTTTGGACAACAAGTTGTGATGTAAAAGATCTAGTCTCATTTGTCTTTTGTTCCCATTTTGACGAGAAAATTGCATCAATATTACTGTTTGTGATTTTTCCAGTTTGGTCATACATTTCCACCCGACTTATTTGATGGTTTGATTTTTTTAATGCAAGCAATAGTAATGAAGGGGGGCTGCTATTAGCTGACTCAAAGAGAGGGAAAAGGACAGGAGTTACAATTACAAAAGGCCAAGTAATTTAAAACCTCTCCCACCACATCCCTATCTTGTTTCCTAAATCAATTATTACCAACCATAGGTAGAAGTTGACGTTTCCTAGTTTTTGAGCTGGATTCATCATCATTCCCCTTTATAAATCAATTCTTTTTTCCATCCTGGTTTAACTTATGTAAATAAATAATTGCTGATGACTCTCACTCGGAACGGCAATTATTCAACATTTCGAAAGCTATCATCAATTTGCTTTTCTCTTGTAGTATATTATTTTTACGTTGTTTATGCAATAATTATTCTAGCATATTAACTATATACAGAAGAACGTTCATCTATAAAATTATATATTATCAGAGTATAAATTAGAAAACCAAGTAATATTTTAGAGTCTCAAATTACAAGAATAGCATAAGTAGTAAATAGTATGTTATACAATCGATTAGATCTCATATATATGGTAATAAGTTATATTCAGTGCCTCCTACTTTTTGTTTTGAGAACAAAGAATCTCATAGAAAGTATAAACAAAACCCTTCATCAATCCGTAAAGAATAAATAAAGATTGATATATATATATATATATATATATATATATTTGTTACTCTTGACATATCATGTAACGTGACAGTTAGAAATGATTTTCCAAAGGAGTTTCATGTCCGAGAAAGCTTTTGTTCATTTCTATTCTTATCCGCACACATACCTAACACAACAAAAGGGGACATGGAAAGGGAGGGGAGAGAGCGACAGAGAGGGAAAAAAAAAAGGAAAAGAGAGATAATTGATGCGTGCATATTTGTGAGGACTAAATATTTTGTCGATTAATTAGTTATATTCTTATTTTATCACTTGTATACAACGTACCAATTAGCAAACGGGATTCTTTATCCTGTTCTTATGTTCCACACATCTGAAAGTCTTTATTAATTTCAGTAACAAACAAAATAATCAGTTTTAAAAAGAGCAAATATAATCTTTTCAACTAAAACAAAATTATTTTACTTATAACGTATCGTTGTAAACAAATATTAAACACATAACATATTCTATCAGTAATTATGATCAAAGTAAACATGACACGAGAATTTTACATATATCTAAAACTTAGAATCAAGATAAAAAATATCACTTTACATGTCACATATTATTGATTTGTATCGTGAAATTTTCCTTGTCCATGCATCGGGAGTCTTTAACTCCATGGTGATATTGTTGGGGTAGTCTTCTATGTTCTAGAAATTAGGGGTTTTACTAAAACATTTTATTTACTTTCTTGAACAAAAGGAAACAAAATATATATATATATTACTTTTTTTTTAATAAAAAGAAATATAAAAATACTACTTTGATTCAAAAGGTAAAGAACTAAGTCTACTATAGTGTATTAGTATTTTCCTCAAGGAAAAAGATAAAAGACCGCTCAATTATTACCCTTATCTTAGCGATGGAGACTTGGTGGAAACGAAAAATGACCCCTCCAAAAAGTCATCAAAGTCATGAAAGCATTTTTATTAGTATTTCAGCCTAACTCATATAATTCTCTCCCCTTTTCTCTCTTTCCTTCCTTCCCCCTCGTGTTAGTTGTTATATGACTTTAAAGTACCCCACTGTGTTTTTTATTTCATTTCTTTCTTTATTTCTCACTGTGTGAGTGTGTGTTTATGTCATTTTTCTTTCATTATAGTATTCATTTTTTCCCTTTCTGTTGAGTTTCTGCAGAGAAGTTTTTTTGATTCTGACAAGAAGGCGACTTCATAAGTCTCTCCCACACACAAGGGGGGCTTATATTGTATCCCAAGATTCATAATAATTTGATAGCTCGATCTATCAATATGGACATGTGACTTGCAAAGATCTCTCCAAAGCTTTCTTCTCTTTTTATTTTTATTTTTTAAGGTATCCCCACCTTCTGTTTTATCTGTTTCCCCCTCCTTTCTTTTTCTTTGTTTTTTCGTTTCTCTGCTGTTGGCCTGTGGGCTTTCTTGATGGTACATACATATATACTTCACTCTCTTTTGCTGTCTTTTTTTTTTAACCAACTATTCAATCGATTTCCCGAACTCCTTTTTACAAATTTTTCGGGGAATCTAAGGATATGTTAAGATGATTGGCTTTCTTGGAGTTTCTGATGAATTCATGTACTGGATCTTTGATTTCTTGGTGTTTAGTCATAAGTCTTATTTCTTTGGTAATTTCTTTCAGGTTCTTTCAGATTCGGCTTTGATGGCGGTTATGAAGTAAACTCTGATCAAATCGACCGATTTGATATTAAAAGTGACAAGAAGAAAAGGGTTTTTCATTTTTCTATTGGCTCTTGGATATTGTTTCTTCAAGATCTCTGTCAAGCTAGCTACATATTTTTAGCTATGTACTATCAGAGCAGCTCAGAAATCCAAGGTGATGGTCTTCAAACACTTTATCTCATGAACCCTAATTTCACTGGTGGTGGTGGTTATTCAGAATCCCAACAACAACCACAACAACAAGGGTCGCAGCATCAGCAACAACCAACTGCCGCCAACATGGTGATTCTGAACTACGCCGCAGCGGCCGGAAACCCGATGAATTTCGCCGCCATAGCCAGTGGCCAGCAGCAAGCTCAAACTCAGCACCATCTCGTCGGAGTTCCACTTCATCAGTCAAATAATAATAATAATTCTAGTAATGATTTGAAGCTAGTAAACCATCTGTCAGTAGATTCATCCCACCAGCATGAACATCCGAGTCCTGCTTCCCGGCCGCAGCCGGGAACCGGTACTCATGTTATCCCTCATTTCCACCATGGTCTGTGGGGCTCACTTGACCATACCGGAGTTGGTGGCGGTAGTCCAAGTACTCATCATATTCCGTCTGGGGTGGTGATTAGTAATAATAATAATAATCCGGTCGATGTCGGCGGGACCCAACTCGGGTTTCACCGGCCGCCGCCGACGTCACAGCAGCAAGGTTTATCTCTCACGCTTTCTTCCTCCCAACAACAACATCATCAACAACAACATGGGTATTTAGTAAATACTCCGATTGGGATATTATCTCCAAGAAACGTCGCAACTGGTTTGAGTGGATCTTCCTCGTCGGTTTCAAACGGGATCCCGCCGTCGGGAGGATTTCAGGGCACGGTTTTCGGGTCCAAATATCTGAAAGCTGCTCAGGAGCTGTTAGATGAGCTTGTTAATGTCGGAAAGTCGGACGAGAAAGGTAAAGAGAAAGGAAAGGTACATAAAGAATTATCTACCGGTTTGACTGCGGTAGAAGCTTCACAACAAACGGGTCAGAGTGACAGTAAAACTTCCCCGACCACTGAACTTACCGTGGCTCAGAGGCAAGAGCTTCAGATGAAAAAGGCTAAGCTTGTTAGCATGCTCGATGAGGTAAAACTATTTCTTGTCTTTTCCGTAATATTTTTCCGCTCTTAATATAGCAAGTTGTCTACGGTTTGACAATTAATTTGATTATTATCGCGTAAATAGTTATGCCAACAACGGTTTAATGAACTTATCAAAAACATTCTTGCATTTAACAATGGACATTCTTCTCTGACATCTTTTATTAATAACCAAAGGGTTTAAATGAAGCCTACTTACATAAGTTTCTGTTGTTTTTTGTTTTTCATTTTTGGTCTTTTAACGAGTACGGAGAGCTTGCGTATTTGATCCAAAACGGCTTTCATGAATCGTTTTCACATGTTAATGAAACGAATTTTTTTTTAAGGTAACTGCATTTTTCCTTGTTGAATCTTCTTTATCCTAGAAAGCCTATAAAACCATGAATCTTTTCCTTATACCAGAACTACGAGGTAATTTTAAACTATGAACTTTTAGTTGAGCGATCAGTGATGTCGCATTTGAATACTTTATGTAAAGTTTCTGATTTCGCCAATGAAAGATAAGCAGTACACCTCATATTCGGTTTTCTTATTTCTCCCTTTAAAAATCTGAGGACAAACTACTCAAAAGCTCGATATTGTTCTATGAGGTTATGCTATACACATCAAGAATCAGTATTTGTCCAATTATATTTGGACAAGTGCACTAAGAAAAGATGTACACCATAACTAACTGATTTCTCTTTTATCACTATTATTTTTAAATAAAGGGGGAGAAAAATAAATTTGTGATCCCACTTGAATTTTTTTCGCATTGAACAATAGTTGGTCCATTTAAGACGGGCATATTGCATCTGTTTGGTGGGTTCATCATGTCCACTCCTCCCTGGACCCTTTTGATGATAGCCAATTTGATTGATTGATAGACAATTTGGACGTGTCACAGATTCACGAATTTAACAAGCTATAGTAGTCCGAATACATTTATGTTGTGTCAAATTCTTGAACGAAAAAACAGAAACAAACGTAATAATGAAAAGCTTGTACATATGTAGATCATACATAAAAACATACTATTAATTTTAACATCATTTTGTCATGTTTGTTTGCTTTTTTTTTTTTTTGTATTTTCTTTTAGGTGGAGCAAAGATACAGGCAGTACCATCATCAAATGCAAATTGTCGTTGCTTCATTTGAGCAAGCTGCCGGAATCGGGTCGGCGAAATCGTACACCCAACTTGCTTTGCAGACGATTTCAAAGCAATTTAGGTGTTTGAAAGATGCAATTTCTTCACAAATAAAGTCAGCGAGCAAAAGCTTAGGTGAAGATCATGAGTCCTTAGGAGGAGGGAAACTTGAGGGTTCTAGGCTTAAGTTCGTTGACCAACAATTAAGGCAACAAAGAGCACTCCAACAACTTGGGATGATGCAAAACAACACTTGGAGGCCTCAAAGAGGTTTGCCTGAACGAGCTGTTTCAGTCCTTCGTGCATGGCTTTTCGAGCATTTCCTTCATCCGTACGTAATCTCTCAAATCTTCGTTTTTCTTTCTTTACAACGTTAATTCAAAAATTGAAATTTGTTTCCCTACCCTTCATAAATTAAATGTTTTGCATGCATGGTTTGTTCCTTTCGTACACAGTTACCCTAAGGATTCGGACAAACAAATGCTGGCTAAGCAAACAGGGCTTACGAGAAGCCAGGTATGCATAAATCATTCTCAGCTTCCGCAAATCTCACGAGTGATTTTTTTTTTTCTTGTTTTAAATGGAGGATGGAGGGAACCAATTTCAACTTCTGTTTATCAATCATGTCTACACAGTAAACAATATCTTCTTCTTTTGTGAATATTGATCATTCCCTGTGTCCTATCTATAATAAATGGTAAAGTTTATATAAGGTACTATTTCTGTACTAAAATAATTATCCAGTTTAGATTATCATTTTTAGTATAATTAGTACTAAAATTGAAATTCTAAACTAGACAATCATCTCGAGACGGAGGAGTACAATGTTTTCAAAAATATATTTGGCAAGGTACAACAAAAATAGGGAGCCATACACCTGCCATCATTTTCTTAATCTCAATAATAAAAAATTTAATCCTATAAATTAATCTCTTTGTCCCGAAATGATTGTTCAGTTTAAATTTTTATTTTTGGGTTAAATTGTACGAAAAGTAAAAATCCGAACTCGATAATCATTTTGTGACACGAGTGAAAAAATTGAACCGGAAGCATTTTGTTGAGCCTGAAACTAAAAACTGTGATTTTTTTTTTTTTAATAAAAAATCGCTGGTGGAGGGAAAATAATTTGAGAAACAAGGACGAGAGAGAAAGAAGGCATCCTTAAAACAAAATGCGTAAGCCTTAAATCGTAATGATCACAACATACACAAGAAAAGGGAGGGCAGAGAGTAAATCCTCTCCCTCCCACCATGAAGTCACTTCACCTTGTTGATTTGTCAAATTAATTACCAGAGTTTTTAGTGTTTCCTTTTTCCCTCATAGGGGCATAAAGAAATTTCAACTAACTGTAGAAGAAAATACTGCATGCAGGTCTCGAACTGGTTCATAAACGCTAGGGTTCGACTTTGGAAGCCTATGGTTGAAGAAATGTACTTGGAAGAAACCAAGAATCAGGAACAAGATGGTTCTGAACCCAACAAAGAACTGGGATCGCATTCGAAAAACCCAAAGGAGAACGATAATGCAGCAAGAATGGATCAAATGAATGCTCCACAGTCCAAGCAGCAAGAAAAGACATTAGGTCATCATGATTCAAGTGACCTAGCAACCTCATCTCCTACTAACACTTCCCCCCAAGCTGTTCGAACTGGTAATTTCGGCCTAATTGAAGCCCTAAACATCCAAGGAAGCGCCGAAAAGAATAGCAAGAAAATGAGAAACATTGATCATCAAATGGAGAATTCCCCAAGTAGTATCCTTTCTGTGGACATGGAGATGAAATTTGGAGATGCGAGAAAAGGATCATCATCATCATCATCATTCCATAACGGATTCGGAGCATTCGGCCTAGGAGAACTTGGACAGTTTAATCCAGGGCAACTCGCAACCACAGGGTTTCATGGAAACAGTGTTTCTCTAACACTTGGTCTTCCTCCATCTGATCATCAAAACTTGCCCTTATCAACAACACCAAGTCATCATCATCATCCGCAGAACTATCTTTCGGAGCAAATGGATCAAGGTCATTATAATGATCAAAGGGTTAACAACAAATCTCCAACAACTTCCCATCCAAACATGGGTTATGAGGCCATTAACTTCGATAGCAGGAAGCGATTCGCCGCACAATTGTTGCCCGATTTCGTGACTTGATGATCATGAATTGATCCCAAGGAATTTACAGTATATATAGGTTGATCAAGTGATCAAGATCGATTCAATATAGGAATTGAAATGGTTTCCATTATTTTTCAGTCTTATAGCTAGTTCCCCAGAACAGCATGTATACTTGATAGGGTATAGGATTATACAAAGTGTGGGTGAATAAGATTATAAGAATTAGATTTCCTAAATTAGCTATCAGCAAAAACGCCTCAAGTTGAATGCTTGAATATGGCAACATCACACTAGCGAAAGATTAAGTTTGTAAAATCAATATTTATTTTATCATTATGTGCATATGTTTGCAGATTTTAGTGCTTTCCAAGTTCACGAAAAAGTTTAACAGACTAAACTACGAGAGGAAAATAGTCAAAGCTCTCATACTGTCTTTCAACTGAAGATCATACATTCTTCAATTCAAAGAATCTTCCTGAATCTCTTAAATGGTTGTAATAGGATCTCCTTAGATCCCGGAGTTACTCTTTGGAAATGTCAAAATGAATCTTGTGTGAGGAGATTGCGAAAGCGTTATATTTATAATATTTAACATGGTAATGAAATTAATCTTTTTTCAAAAGGAAAAAAAAAAGAAGAAGAAGAAAACTAGAGAGAAGGTTTTTATTTCAAAGGTTGAGGTTAAGCAATGAAAATTGAGCATTTTTAAATCAGTAAACCTTAGGTGTGTTGATTAATGTAATTGCAGCAATATAGATAGAACAAAATATACGTCTAATTGATAAATTTCGACCATCCTGGTAATCATATATTGATATACAGAAACATGCTGAGAGCTGAATTCGAAACCTTAAGTAAACGGAAAAATACTTAATTCTAATTAAATTGAAATGTAGCTAATGATCAGCTTTCCAACTCAGTCGTCGGTACTTCGTAAAGTTATATTAAATGTATATGTAGAATGAAGAGAAAAATCTGGTTAACTAATTTTAATCTCACTTGAAAATGGCTTGACCAGATTGTAGTTAAACATCCCCAGGTGTTCGTAGGACTCAGCGCCACCTTTTTGTGGGGGGTGGATTTTCTAAATCCCATGCACATAAAATCGAACTTTATGGGAGACCCTAACAAATTAATTCCCCAACTTTTTCTAAAAAAAAAAAGGTGATAAGAAGGTTTTAGACCACTACCTCATGATGATAATTACTAAGCAGGCTTCCCATTGAATAACTTGTGCAATCTTTTCTTTTTATTATATATATATATATTCATCAAATAAATTTGTTTTCACGGACTAGTGTTATCAATATGATAGATAAACAACAAATTGTATTAAGTATACATGTGAGTATATTTTGACATCGGTGGTCAGAAAGAAATTGTGTAAAAACGATACACAAAAAAAATTTAGAGTAGGTACACGTGAGGATATTCATATTCTGATGTCGGTAGTTTGAAAGTTCTTGCGTGTACTCTCTCTATTAACATAATCAAAATTTGATTCTTCTCACTATTTCAACATGGTATCGTGGGTATTTTTTTTAGCTGCGATGATACTGCTTGTTTAAAAGTTTTGAGCATTTTGGTTGCTTTTCGTGGTTGTCTTTTATTTTTTCATTTTTATTTTTTATTTTTAACAAACAACTCAACCCTCCTTAGAATTGAAATCGTTGTACACTACATAGAGCAGCAAACTTATGAAAACAAAAACTTTCTTCACTCTACATATGGGCCCATACCGGCTTCAACAGCAAATTAGTTCCTAACAAACAGAGATGTCCAGCGCTGGACTGTAGCCTTTTTGGACACAAAAATTTTGATTTCCCTGATAGTCAAAACTGTAGCCTTTTTGAACTGAGAATTTTCCTTATGGTGACCGTCTGAGCCTCAAGATAAAGCGATATGGGCCGTCTAACCTTGTCCCGCCATAGCCCTGAACCTAAATTTGACCCATAAACGTGAATGGGCCGCCCATCGTGGGGGAAGATTTCTGGAATCAAACAAAAATATCTACAAAATTGATTTGTGTAATAGAATAGTAGCGAGTTTTTTTTACCATTAACCTTGGGTTGGGTTCGAATCTCACCATCAGTTTGTGGCAACTTTAAATTTTTTTTCCCTCACTCTTATCGCATATGTCCATATAATTCAGTGAAAGAAATTAGTCATTTTTATTGACAGTAGAAATTCTGTAAATATAAAAAAATAAAGAATGATTTACCCGGTAGGGCACATACCAGGCACATCATATAAACATACAAAAAAAAAATTGTCCTCTTTATTTTTATAATATTTATCGGACAGAAAAGTTTTATAAACACCATTTTATTTTTCCCTTTCCACTTAAAACACCTCTTAAATACAAATTCTAATATAAATAAATACTATTTAAACAACATTTCAACTTATCTTTTAAAACTTATCTCAAATATTATTTTCACATAATTTTCAACCACCACTACCAGACCACCAATGCCGCTGCCGAGGTGGTGTGGGGTGGTCGTGGTGGTTCGATGGTGAAGGAAAATAACATTATTTTATTTAAAAAACTACACAAACCACTTTTTCAATTTTCATTCAAAACACCTTTTAATTAAAACGCATTTCATCTAAATCGAAAATGAAAACAAAATCTTGTCCATTCAAGTTACTTTTTTTTTTGGTAGCACCGGGAACCCCACCAGAGATTGGTAAACCCATGTCCACTGCAATAGCCCGCAAACCAAAGTACAAGGAAAACTACCCTAGGCCAGCCCTGGGTGACAGGCTCGGGTGTAAAATAGTGAGACGATTTTTTTGATGTCGTAGGTATCGCTTGCCAAAAGAATAATTTATAAACCTACTTAAAACTATTAGCTAGTGGTAAGCAGGTTCGTTCCATAGGGACGGCAGTCAACTGCTCAAAATCTGATTAAAATGCAGGAAGGGAAAAAACTAGTTGAACAAATTGCCAATTGGAGAGTGAGAATAGTCACTTGACAGAGTGAAGAAGCAGAAGGGTTAATCACCTTCCTACCTTTATGATCCAATAGTGTATGATTAGTTGTTCGATCAGGCATCTATATATCTTTATAATTCCTTCCAGATAGAATAAAGAGCCTTAGATTATCAACCCAGTCAGAGTCTTATTTAATGCAAGCCATGAAGTTCTTAAGCCCTTATTGATCGCCTATGCCACCACCTAACTGCCGTTGGTGTATGAAACCAAAGTTGTGGATTTCCTCCTTTGTCATAGACTAGATTAAGCAGTTCTAAGGCCCTTCCAGACCTTCATAACCATGCATGCACTTTAATTAATTGAAGTTAACTAAAAGGTTAATTAAATCACTTATCTAGGCACAACACCTCATCAAAGAAACTGAATGAAAACTTTCACATGAAGATAGTAGGGATTGAACCCTTAACTAAGTTAGCTACTCATGCTTATTGAGTTAAACATGAGAGCAACAGAATACAAAAGGTAGGACATGAATCCAAATCAAAAGGTTAGAGGAAAGAAAGGGAAGATAGTAGCAGGGACAGTTCTGTCGGCTCACTATGGTGAGTGGCGTCCGCCACTTGACAAAGTGACAGTCTGCCTTGTTCCTGCTACTACCCTGTTTCTATCTAACTAACTAACTACCTAATTACTGTCTTTTGGACTAAATCTAACTACCCAATCTGTTGTTTTTCCTACTGCTATTGGTTGGCTATTTATTGAGATTTGGAGAGGCTTGGATTGGTGGAGTTCTGGCCTTCTTCTCTGCAGCAGAAAGGTGAGGCAGCAACTTGCAACAGAGGAGATTTGTTAATTCTGCAACTTGCCTAGTCTTCTCTTTCGCTGCTCCTTCTCTTCAGCCGCAATTTACCACCCTCCTCTCATCATTGTCTTCTTCTCCGGCGCAGCTACTCCAATTCCTAGCCACAAGTCTCTATTTCTTTATTCTTTAATCCTAAGCAGTCCAACTAGCTGCAGTAGCAAGTAGCTGCATGCTTCCTTCCATCATTATGTCTTCAGCCTCCAATTTAGCCTGAATCATCTGCCGTTTTCTTCCTTGTTTCCTGGGTCACTTGCTATGCCATTGCTCACCCTTCTGCAGCAGCCAATCCACCAACTTAGTAGTAGCAGCAGTGGATAAGTAGCAGAGTTGCAGCTGCTGCTTATCACATATTCTCCCTCCTTCTCTTCTTCCACTTGCAGCAACAACAACTTGCAGTGATGGCAAAGCAATTTCCTTCCTTGGGCACCAAGATTTCAGCTAGTGGCTCCTCTCTGATTGACAGCAGCAACAACTACTGCAACAGCAATCAGGCAGCAGGGCAACTACCATTCTTCCTCCGGATTGAGTATGCTGCAGCAGATTTTTCCACTTGCATTCATCTGCTATCAATCTTCCTTCCTTAGCAAGGATTTCTCCGCTTGCTCCAACTTTGATCAGTCCTTCCAGCAGCTCTGTTTCCAATAGCATCAATTCCAGCAGCTTCCAATCTAGTCCCTTTTGATGTCTTTTAGTACAATTTAGTCCTCATTTATGCTAATTTTCTACATTGGCCCCTTGAGATACCTAAACTGCAAAATTACCCTAAAAATAAACTAATCCTAACTAATTGACACTAAATTATAAGTAGAAATGGAGTAAGAAATGGTTGCAAAAAGGATATATATTTTTGCTTCATCAGATACCCCCAAACTTGAATCGTTGCTTGTCCCCAAGTAACAGACCCAAACTCAGGGTTTTACTGATCCTCTAGCAAACAAATTCATGCTACATTCCTACTGACCTAAACACAGAAAGATTGACTCAGAAAGAAGAAGTGATATTTTTAAATTTTTATAGATAAAAGTAATGATAGTGATCGAAAAAGAATGTGGCTAAATGAACAGAAGTAATTGCAATATTGTGTCAATATTAGTCTCAGATTCAAGTCCTTCACTGGACAGATTATACACAATTGTTCATCACAGGAAAGCAGTATCACAGTTCTTCATATGTGTGTGTTCATATGTCACATCCAAAATTCAAGTTTTAACCTATGATCCATTCCTAAAATTAATCAGTTTAAGAACAAATGGACATTATTATGATCAGTACCTATTTCCTGCATGCCATCAACTAGTGTATTCTTACTGAGATTTTTTTATTCTAAGGACTTCCTTACAGATTCTGCAGCAACATTGGTTGCACCTTATTTCTCCGCCAATCCTTTTTCTCCTTGTCCATATGGCTTTTCTTCTGGATCTTTCCAACTCAGGCCCCTACCCAGAGCATATTTCCACTCAGTTTTCTATTCATAGTGGCTCAACAACTTAGGGGATTTCATCCAGAGCATGTTTCCACAGTGGCTCAGCAACTTAGGGCATTTCACCAAGAGCATATTTCCACTCAATTTTTATAGTGATTTCTCACAGTGGTTCAGCAACTTAGGGTAGTTTTATTCATTTTTCTGATTTTCCTCACCAGGCCTGGGGACTTTCTCTACTGGTTTGCCAAACCTAAATACTCAGGGGTATTACTGCCTCATTGGACAGTCTTCCTAACTTCCCTCATTTCAGATTTTTTTTTTCAATTCAACCGCCTACCATTCCCTGTCCCAAGGTATTTAGGCTTTTACA